CTATAGCATCACAGCTCACAGCGATCTCCAACTCCTGGGCTTAGGTGATTTTCTTGCCTCAGCCTCCCAAGTAGCTGGGACTACAGGCACCTGCCACAACGCCCAGCTATTTTTTTGTTGCAATTTGGCAGGGGCTGGGTTTGAATCCATCACTCTTTGTATGTGGAGCCAGTGCCCTACCCACTGAGCCACAGCCACCTCCCGATTTTAATTACTTTTGTTATCTTACCGGATGTCTGTTTTCCCATTTAATTCCATTAATTCACATTTTAAAATAAATTTACAAAATTTAAAAATTTATAAAAAATATCTTGGGGGGCTGCACAGCACCTGTGGCTCAAAGGAGTAGAGTGCCGGCCCCATATGCTGGAGGTGGTGGGTTCAAACCCAGCCCCGGCCAAAAACTGCAAAAAAAAAAAAAAAAAAAATCTTGGGGGGGATGGAGTAAATTCATGACCCAGATCTGAGCATGGTTTTGTTCAGAACAGACCCCTGAAGGAAATACCTCAATCCTCCCCAGTTCCAGAATATCAGACAGTTAGGCTCTCCTAACTCCGGAGCAACAAACGGAGGCCCACCCTTCTAAACATTCAAAAACTACAGACTAGGGCGGCACCTGTGCCTCAAAGGAGTAGGGCACTGGCCTCATATGGTGGAGGTGGCGGGTTCAAACCCAGCCCCAGCCAAAAAATGAAAAGGAAAAAGAAACAAAAAACCTACAAACTGAATGAACTACTACAAATACTCATTCATGAGGACCTAGACTGCCAGGCTCCAGTTTAGTGTTCAGACCTCTCAGAGTTCCACAGAATATGGAACCATCTCTGGCCACAGTGCCTTACCACCCAGCCCCAGCTTGTTCTCAAAGCTGGAGAGTTCTCATTCCTACATGGTGAACATTCAGACTCTCCACACCTCTCCCCAGGCAACCACACTCAGCCACCCCTTGGCCACACTTAAGAGCCTAGGACACCCATACTAGCTATCTATCCTCCAGATTAAGTAGGTAATAGGGCTCAGCGCCTGTGGCTCAAGTGTCTAAGGCGCCAGCCACATACACCTAAGGTGGTGGGTTCGAATACAGCCTAGGCCCGCCAAACAACAATGATGGCTGCAACCAAAAAAAAAAAAAAAGGCCAGGCATTGTGGCGGGCACCTGTGGTCCCAGCTACTTGGGAGGCAGAGGCCGGAGATTCGCTTGAGCCCAGGAGTTGGAGGTTGCTGTGAGCTATGCCACGGCACTCTACCCAGGGGGACAGCTTGAGGCTCTGTCCCAAAAAAAAAAATAAAATAAAATAAAATAAAAAAAATAAAAAAAAAATAAAAATAGCTGGGTGTTGTGGTGAGCACCTGTAGCCCCAGCTACTCCGGAAGCTGAGCTAAGAGAATAGCTTGAGCCCAAGAGTTTGAGGTTGCTGTGAGCTATGATTCCAGAGCACTCTACCAAGGACAACAAAGTCAGACTGTCTCAAAAAAATAAAGAAAGAAAGAAAATGTTAGTGTAACATGTTACACGAAAGATTTGATTTTTCCACAGATGAGTTAATGCAATAGTAAATTATTATACTCTATAACAGCTCACAGCAACCTCTAACTCTTGGGCTTAAGCGATTCTCTTGCCTCAGCCTCCAGAGTAGCTGTGACTATAGGTGCCCGCCACAAAGCCCAGCTAATTTTTTTTTTAATCAGCCCTGGGTTGGGTTTGAATCTGCCAGCCCCAGTGTATGTGGCTAGCACCCTAACCACTGAAAAAGAGGAACTGAGTCTATAATAAAAAAAAAAAATTTAAGTAAGCAAAGACCAGATATGTGGACACACACCTGTAATCCCAGTGCTATGGGAGGATTCCCTGTGATCACCTTGGTAGACCTCCATCTTTACAAACTAAAATAGCCAGGTGTGCTGGTATGCACCAGTAATCACAGCGACTTAGGAGGCTGAGGCAGGAGGTTCTTTTTTTTTGAGACAGAATCTCATTTTGTCACCCCAGTACAGCGCTTTGGAATCATAGCTCACAACCTCAAACTCTTGGGCTCAAGCAATTCTCTTGCCTCAGCCTCCCGAGTTGCTGGGACTACAGGCACCTGCCACAACATCCAGCTATTTTTTTTTTTTCCCCCCCAGTTTTTGGCCAGGGCTGGGTTTGGACCCTCCACCTCCGGCATATGGGGCCAGCACCCAACTCACCGAGCCACAGGTGCCACCCACCCAGCTATTTTTAAGAGATGGGGTCTCACTCTAGCTCAGGCTGGTCTCAAACTCATGAACTCAGGCAATCCGCCCAACTCAGCCTCCCAAAGTGCTGGCATTACAGGCGTGAGCCACCTCTCCTGGCTAGGATCATTTGAGCCCAGGAGTTTGCATTTAGAGGGAGCTGTGATTGTGCCACTCCAACAATTTGAGGCCTGGTCCCTAAAATAAACAAGCAGGCTTGACGCCCATAGCTCAGTGACTAGGGTGTCAGCCATATACAGCAAGCTGGAGGGTTCAAGCCTGGCTCTGGGCCAGCTAAAACAATGACAACTGCAACAACAAAGAAATACAGCCAGGCGTTGTGGGGCAGGTGCCTATAGTCCCAGCTTACTCAGGAGGCTGAGGCAAGAGAATGGCTTAAGCCCAAGAGTTTGAGATTGCTCTGAGCTGCGATGGCACAGTACTCTACTCAGGGAAACATAGTAAGACTCTGTCTCAAATAAATAAGCAAATGAAGCATACAGTATTCAAAGGAGAAAGATTTAATATGAAACTTCAAGAGTCACATCATGATAAACAATAACATTTATGAAATATCGTTTTGATGAGCTCTGCTTTTCCATCTTTTCTATTTTGACTCATCCCATCACCTTATCCCATGTTCTTCTATGGCCATCCCCGGCCTTGACAAGTTCCATTGACAGAGTCCCATCTCCCAGGTGGTATAGAAAGTTTTCCCAGCTCGGCACCTGTGGCTCAAGTGGCTAAGGCGCCAGCCACATACACCTAAGGTAGTGGGTTCGAATCCAGCCCAGGCCCACCAAACAACAATTGACAGCTGCAACCAAAAA